ATAGGTCCTTGAGGTGTGATGCACAAAAGCCAATATCTGATGGCTAGTTACATTTGATGGGAAGCTGTGAGTAACTAGCTTCATAAATGGTTTTTCTATTAATCTAGGTAATGGAATCACTTGTTCAATTCTCACTGATAGCGCAAAGGTTATTTTTTTACCTCTCTTTACCATGAACATTTTCTGCAGGATGGCTTTGTCATTTCAATGTCCAATTCTCCTTTATGGGAATATACATTCTGGGCAAGTTTATCAAGGTTTCTCCCAGAAGAAGGATGTACGATATTTCTCTGCTCATTGTGTTAAATTTATACCGAAAAACAGAATACTATCATCCAGTCCCAATTTGCCTATGTCTTCCATCATTTCCCATCTATCACTCTCAACTCTAAGCAACCCTTTCTTTGCCTCAACTATATCACAATCCTTTACTAGGGCTCTTCTCCTAGTCCTAGATGCCCTCCATATTCGGCTTCAACCCAAAACATTAATTTTCATCACCAATTCAAACACTTCCACAAAGCCTTCTGCAAGTAATTGTGTGTTTCCCACAAAACAAAACGTTTCTCAGGAGTAGACAATTCGTCATAGGCATCCCTCAGAATGTGCCTCTCGGTACTGGCTCTAAAAGTATTCAAACTGAATCTGCCCAGATCTCATAAATTACCATAAAAGTGTTTTTCCCCAAAATTGGATACCAGCTTAAATTCTTATTTTCTTTTTTTTTTCATCCTAAGAGCACAGAACACCCCCTATTCGTCGCTGCCTAGCTTGTTGGCTGAAAGCTAGCAGATCATCCAATTTTGCTTCATCTGTAACCTACAACGCTGTCAGCCCAGACCCTGACCATCAGAGCGCATAACCCTCCAGCAAGGCACCTGCACAGGGGACACAGCTGTGCTTCCTGCTCACCACAAGGTGCCCACCTTATCTCGTGCCTGAAGAGATGGCAGCCAATTATGACTCACACTTATTGAATGCTGATCGTATGCTAGACTCTGTTCTAAGTGGTTTCTAGGCAGTAATTCATTGAATATTCTAATAACCACAAGGCAGGTACTGTCGTTGTCCTTGGCCTATGGATGAGGAAACTGAGGCCCAGAGAAGTGAAGTGACTTGCCCAGTCTCACAGCTAGGATGTAGCCAGGCCCTGATTTAAACCAGGTCCATCTGTGGGGCTCTGAAGTTCACATTCTTCATTACGATTTCATACATGTGACTATAAAGGGGCTACCGTACTGTCCTAGCCATGGGACCAAAGAGGATAAAAATGTCTGCTCCACAATTTTAAAACAAGAAAGAAAGAAAAAGAGAGAGAGAGATGAGAGATTTAAGAGTGCAGTCCGGGAGCCAGACAGGCCTGAGCGATCATCCCGGCTCTTTTAACTTAACTATGCAACCTCAGGCAAATTACTTAATCTCCCTAAGCCTCAATTTCCTCATCTGTAAATTGGGGATAATTACACCTTCTATCGCTGCTGATGAGTGGCAGAAGTCAGATTCAACCCCATAATCTTTCCATAACACGATGGTGCCACATCCTCCAGAAGATTATAATCTTGCAAAATAGTGGGAAATCCCAGCGCTTCCCTGCTGCCAGCTGGCTTGGAGGCAACTGTACCTCCAACCAGAACCTCCTGCCCCATTACGTCGAAAAAGTCTGGGGTTCTGAGTGCCATCACACAAGACATACCGGATAACAAAGAAGGCCACCCGCTTCCTCACCAACAGCTCCACTGGCACAAGGAGTGTTCTCAGAGCCACCCCCATCCCATCCCCTGCATCAAAGGCGAGAGCATCGAAGATGAGAACGCCGGCACCAGGAGCCAGTGCCTGCTCTGCTCAGAACACACTCCCTCTCACGCAGAGCCAAACACCACATTCTTAAGGAGGATGTGCATCCCCGAAACCTCCTGGAGCGGCCTCATCCTAACAGGAGAGGCCTTCCGATCCTCCCACCCCAGAGCTGCAGGGTGCTGGGAGCCTCAGGCCTCATTCCTGGAAACGGCAAAGGCTCCGGTCAGAGCATGTGAAGATGAGTCACGTAGCAGAAAGTACCTCATACGATCATCACCCAGCACGCGGCCCCGGTGGAATGCTGCAGTCACGCGGCAATACCACGTACCGTTGTTTATAAAATGAAGGTAAAACATTTGAAGTGAAAAAACTCCCTAGAATCTAAGGAATGCACCAAACCAGCAGTGTCTGTGTGAGGGATCTGGCATCACAGCTAATTCTTTGAGACTTTTCAAACGTCCTGTAATATGAGTACAGAACACACACCCTGCTCATCGCCGCCTGGGTTGCTGCTGAAGACTAGCAGATCATCCAATTTTGCCTCATCTGTTGCTACAGCGCTGTCAGCCCAGACCCTGACCACCAGAGCACATAACCCTCCAGCAAGGCACCTGCACAGGTGCCCACCTTTTCTCGTGCCTGAAGAGATGGCAGCCAATTATGGCCAAAATAATAATGGCTCACACTTATTGAATGCTGATTGTATGCTCGACTGTGTTCTAAGAGCTTTCTAGGCGGTAATTCATTTAATAATCTAACCACTATGGCACTACAGATTTTTTTAAAGTAACACAGGTAACATGTAGTCTGGATTATCATAAGGACCTTCATTCCTGATCTATTTAACGATCCTCTGGGTTACGTCCCCTATAAAAATAAATGCGACCGACGCCCAGAATGTTCTGTTGTTGTGGGAGGATGTGGTCATCCCTCTGCGGGGGCCTTGAAGTTCGGGTCCAACTCTACTCCTAATAGACGTCCTCGTGGAGCCACCACCAGCACGTCAGGCCGTGGGTATGTCCTGCCTCGCCAGCTCCTCAGTAGTCCATTTCTTCTCAGAACAGTGTCTCCTCTTAAACTTACTTTGACCAAAGAGCGCCCTTGCATACCAATATTTCAAGATTTCGTAAACAAGCCTATATTCCACACCCACTATTTCCCTTCCTAATTTTCACTTTTCTCTGATAAAGAGGATAGTTTTAAGTTCTCCCTTCCGGCAGCAGCTCCTCTCCCGCCTATCATATAAAGTTGTCCCTCTCTGCACTTTCTCCCGCTCTTTATTGAAACTCGGTAACTAAAGCAAGTACAACATACATTGGTGCTCCCGACACTCTGATGTTTTCAAAATATATTTTTATTGATTTCGAGAGGAAGGGAGAAGGAGAGAGAAGCATCAGTGATGAGAGAGAATCATTGATCCGCGGCCTCCTACACGCCCCACACTGGGGATCGAGCCCACAATCCGGGCATGTGCCCTGACTGGGAATCGAACTGTGACCTCCTGCTCCAGAGGTCAACACTTAACCACTGAGCCATACTGGCTGGGCTGATTTTTTTAAAAATCAACGTTAAAATGGAATATGGACTTGTTTCCTAAATCTTTTGCCTCGTTGCACCCAAGCAAGGAAGATGGGCCACCAGCAGCTCCCCTGGAGACGGGGAGGAAATTCGGCCAGGGTTCTTGTGCTTGCCACATCTGCTCAATCGGCTTGGTCTGGTCCGGAAATATGACCTCAATATGTGCGGCCAACTGTTTCCATCAGTACACAAAGGACACAGGCGTCATTACGTTGGAGTAAGTGAGCTTCCATGAATGGGTCATTCAAGACATCTACCTTATCACAGAAACAATGCTAGCTCTTTGTACATAAAACAAAATAAAACATTTTCAATTCAGGGGGAAAAACACGCTAAGGTGATGTTTTGGTTAAAAAGGTTTCTCTCACCCAATAATTGTATGCAATCTAAATAGTGAACCTCTGTGTATTTGCTAGGAAACGGTATTTCCTCTCCGTGGAAAAGCCTCCTATTATTCGATCATTTCCTCTTTCCCCGTCGGAAACCTTTCTGTCCTGAAGCAAAACACAGCAGCTGGCCCCACGCACGCCTGTGTGCAGGAGGCACATCGGAAAGAGACATGTGCTGGGCGTCACCCCGCTGGTCACAGCGGCCAATGCTGGTGGACACTTCACTGGGTCCGTCACTACCGCCCCCTGTGAGTGATGGGAGACGGCAGGACCATCTGCTGCAGCATGAGCAGCATTGCCCTCTCCCCCCACTCAGGAGGCTGCCTGCGCAGCCAGCCGCCCTGCGCCCTCAGCCTCTCCCGACAGAGCATGCCTCTGCCTCCAGCTCTCCGCCCCGGGGACAAGCGGAAAGGTCGAAACCTGGGCATTCCCTGCCTACAGTGCCAGGCACATCTGCAACAACAAAGGGAGAATGGGAACAGCCAGTGTTACAGACCTGGAAGAACTGGTGGACGGTAGATCCCGTTAGCCGAGGTTTTACTTCCTACAGTTTCAGGTACCCATAGTCAACTGCAGTCTGAACATGTTAAGTGAGAAACTCCAGAAACGGACAAGTCATAACTTTTAAATGGCATGCCTTTCTGAGTAGCATGACCAGTGCTCGCTCTGTCCTGGGACATCATCATCCCTTTGTCCACCAAGTCCACACTGTGTATGCTCCCCACCCACTGGTGACTCGGTAGCCGCCTAGGTGATCAGATCCACTGTCGTGTTATCACAGTGCTGGTGTTCAAGTCCTGCTTATGTTACTTAGCGGTAGCCCCAAAGTGCAGGAGGGGTGATACTGGAAGGAATCTTAGGAATGACAGCTGAGAAGAGCCAAGGAGATAACCCAGCCCTCCCCCGCCCCGCCACCCCCTCCCCCCCCCCCCGCCACCCCCCCCCCCCCCAACAGAGGGCTACAGTTCTCTCTCCTTGGGGTTTGGTATGACCCTGAAATTGCTTTCAGATCTGGCTTTGATGAGACTCTGGCAATTTCAAAACAATAGACAAATGTCACTTTCTATACAAAACCAAAATGACACTCCCATCATAGCAAAGACTTCCAATTACCAGCAAAGGGACTCCCGGCTGGGGAGAGCATGCCCACACCCAGGCCCCTCCCATCGCCTCGGAGGTGCCCCGGCAATGGCTCAGGATAGGCCCCTGGGAATAAAGCAGGTTTGCCCTCATTACCTCTCCGTACTGAGATATCCTTCCCAACGCTCCTCAGATTTGTGCTGACAACATTTTCAAAGCTGTAAATCTAGGAGAAGAATGACATCATTACTGGTTTCATCGGATGGCTGGGTAAAGAAATGGCCTTTCTACCCAGCTCCAAACTACCCTCACTGATACATTTGGCATTTCTGAATATAAAATACAAACTTGTTTGTGAAAGTATTCGCTACCGAACTGTGTTAAATACCATGGTTCTTGCAGGCTGTGAACGTCGTGTTTAAAATCGTTTCAAATTCGTTAGCTGGCCTCCTAAGATAAGACCTAGGAGCCAGAACTCAGAAGGAAGGATCAAGAAAAAGGCAGCTGTCTCAAAGCCACTCTGGCTGTGAGTGGACTTTTGATGGAATAAATGCTCTCATTCACAGCCTGTGTTGAAATCTCCCTGCATGGTGATGACTCACCACACCTCTTCCCGACATCCAGCCTGGGATGCCATGGGCCTCACCACCGCCATCGCTGACGCAACCGCAACCACGGAGCAGAGCCACAGTCCACCAAGCACAGGGTTTGGTTCTGCCATCAGAACCAAAGTGGACTGGCAGCATCGGACAGCGTGGTCCTCTCTCCTGTTCACCTCCCAAAGGACATCAGCTTCCCCCATACTTCACACACTATGCAAGGGTGGGGGTTAGTTACATTTGGGATAATGAATAACTAAAAATGTATTATCCTCTTGATAAAAGAGTATATCCTCAGCATTATGCTAAGTGAAATAAACCAGTCAATGAAAGAAAAATACTACATGATCTCACTCATTTATGGATAATAAAGACCATTATAAACTGATGAACAAAAATAGATACAGAGGCAGAGCAGCATCAAACAGACTGTCAAACTACAGCAGGAAGGCTGGGAGGGTTGAGGGCGGGGGTTGGGGGGGGGGGGTTAAGAGATCAACCAAAGGACTTGTATGCATGCATAGAAGCATAACCAATGGACACAAGACACTGGGGGGTAGGGGGGCAAGGGAAGGTCAAGGGGGGAAAAAAGAGACATATGTAATACTCTTTGTAATACTTTAAGCAATAAAACAAATTTTTTAAAAAAGAGAGAGGTTTAGTAAAGCATGGGATGTGAGATGTGATAAAAAACAAATGTGAACTAAGCATTTATGTACTATATCTTATATTAAATGGAAATATATATGTTCAACTAACCAACTGAAGAATGTATTAGATATTATATTTCTCATAAACATATCAAGATTCCTAAAATGTTAAATTAAAACTTCATATATTACATATAAAAAAAAAGAGTATATCCTCTACTCACTTAAAATGATTTCAACTGCCAAGAGGTAACCTCTTGGTCTCATCTCCCGGGATGGAGTCAAGGGCCCCCATTCCTCTCACCAGCATTGATTATGTTCCAGATTTAGCTTCATCTTTCATCTTTCCAGTCAGACTGTCCTCATTTTTTACATTTTCTTCATGACAACCTTCACTTGGCAGTTCAGGTTTAGGTCATTTCCATCCTTTTGAAATCATTCCCAATTGCCTGTTGAGATTGAGTCCAGGTAACTTTCAAGACCCTTCCCTTTCAGTGTGTGAAATGTTAAGTAAAAGGGGGGTGCTGTACGCTCCGCTAACGCTCAGAGCCTCGATTCACGTGCTGGAGAAAAAGGAACAGATATTCCACCAGTGTTCTTCCCGTGGCGCCAAAGCCCACGTCCTGGCCTTCTGCAGTCAGACACAAAGTGCCAGTGACGTAGGGAAGTGAAAAGCATCCAGTCCGCTGCCCTCACTTTACAGCTGAGTGAACGGAGGCCCAGAGAAACCCAGTAGCTGGCCCCAGACCCTATGAAGAAAACCCCATCTCTTACTTCTTTCTATTCTACTTCACGTCGTTTATTAACATCTTCTCCTCAAAAGACATAATTTCTATTTTTTTTCTTAAAAGACATAATTTCTACTCTGCATGAGCACTTAGTGTGAAGTGACTTAAGTATTACTCCATATAACAATGAAAGAGATGGGTCCGTACCATGGCACCCCCTTTGAACAAAGCACAACTGGCATATGGACAGGTCAAGATCATAAACCAAACATGACCACACAATGACAGTGAGGAAACGGTATTTGCAATTCAAAACCTAACATCTCTCCCTCAAATGAGGGGCACTTTCAAAAACGCCAAGGTCATTTGCTGCTCTGTGAGGGAGAATGTGAAAATCGTAGGCCATAAATCACTATAAATTACACCACAGAGACTGGAGTGTAAGATTATACCATCCATACATTTTCATTATAAAAGTAGTAAATATTGGTAAGAATTCAAAAATTTGATAAAGCATATGAAAAAAGTATTACATGCCATGAATGATCTTGGAATTTTCTTGAACTTTAATATTTTAAAAGGAAACATAATTGAAGTACAGGTTATAACTCCTCTGAAAATGATGATAGTAAAGTTGAACAAAACTGTAAAAATTCAGATATTAAGAGAAGCTGGAAATGAATTAAGAAAGTGAAAACCAGCAGCACATAGTGTGGCCTTTAACTCCCTGGGGGGCAAAGAAAAATTGGCTCCAAAAAGAAAAACATAGTAAGAATCTACATTATGAAAAATAGTTTTGATAAGTATGTTTTCTACTTTGCTTTCAAAAATGCAAAATGGAAAGGTAAAATCGCACAGCCTCTCACCATTTCTTCTTAAATTATGTAAAGTAATCATGACTGTCCCTTCCTCCATTCCTGTAATCCCACCTCATCCTGGCAGCCACTCAGGGACACAGTGTAGGAACAGATGCTCCTCAGCTTGTTTCTCCACTAACAGCGTCCCAGCCCTCTCTCTTTCTCTTTCCCTCTCTCTCTCTCTCTCTCTCTCTCACACACACATGCATACACACACACTTACACACATACACACATATACTCACACATGCTTACACACACATGCATTCACACACACATACACACATTCACTCACACATACATTTATACATACATACACACATACACACAATACACACATATTAGTACACACACACCATACACACATATACATTCACACATCCATAAATGCATACACACATACAATCACACATACACTTATACACACACATTTACATATACACAACATACACACACATACACATTCACACATACATTTACATAAAAACACGCATACGCTTCGATACAAACAGATACATATGCATACACACATATTCATACATTCATACACAAATACACTCACACATACATTTACATACACACACCATATACACACATACACAATACACTCTCACACACACACACATCATGTACACACACCATACACACACATATATATACACACACCACACACATACACACATATACTCACACATATACATACATATACACACAACATTTTACAAAAATAGACAAACTTTCCACTTCTGAGTGAGCTGGCTTTCTTTGAATATATTTCAGAATTTAAAAACTAAACAAGAAACAAGTTGAATTTTTTAGTCATAAAATAAATTAAGTCACTGATCAATTACTTTGTGAGTAAACTTAAGCCTAAAGATTTTCAGTTATATACTTCTAAACTGCTCATCTATTTTAAATAAGAAAATGGTATAAATCACATAGGATTAGGAAAACGTACTTGTGAGACCTTTTGAAATTCTCTGAAAAATAATTTATGAATTTCCAGCAATCTTGGTTTGGAGTCCTCCCCAAAACACATTTTTTAAAATGTGCTCTAGATAACTACTGACTGAAACACATTCTGCACAAAGCGGAAGACAGAGCCAGCACTGTGTCAGAGCGCTCCCTGCATGTACACGGCATCAGTCCCACTGATAACATCCTGGAAATCACAAGGTTTCTTAGCAGGCTTCTTAGAGCCCAGACACATGGATCCGATTCAAAAGTATTTCAATAATTTGCTACATGGCTTTGAGAAAATAATTTAAGTATGTGAAATTTACCTCCATTTCCCCAACAGTAGTTTGAATCAATTTGCCAATGTAAGCTCTAGTCCAATCCAGTAGCTATGCAACCACAGAGAGGAGGAAAAAGAGAACAAAAAAAAAAACCTGTTTCTGGAAGCAAACAATTTTCTCTTTGATTTTATGTGTCCTCGCTTAATTAATTTCAGTATGAGATGAAAGGCACCATCATACCATATGGTCACTCTTCTGTTTATCAAACCATGTAAAAACTGTAAGTCTTTTCTCTCAAAACCCATTTCTAGTGTAAAATAACCAAAGGCTTGGGGCTGATAACAGAGCTTCTCACTGCAGCACGAAGGTTTCCACGCTGCCCAAATCCACCTGCTGCCTTCCTCTCCCACGCCCCTCACCTGCATATTCCCCATGGTCCTGCCCAGGAATTACTGGCTACTCTTCCAAATATTCTCCCCCTACCCCTTTGATTTTGTTACCTCCCCCTGGAATCCTTTATTTCCCCATGTCTACAACCTCCCAGCTGACAAAATTCATCATTCTGGGCTCATCACAGTGTGCCCCACACATGCACGTCCACCTGCCCCAGATCACATGTAATCTCTCCCTGACCTCCCCAGTCCCTTCAGTGCCTACTGCAGTACCTTGTAAGTAGCAGAATCGCAATCAACATTTACCTAATCGAATAATCTGTTGTCTAATTGCTTCCAAAAATTCAATCTGTAGTCCCTGAATAGAAATTGTACAATTTGGACAGCGAAAGGTTACTGTTGCCAAGTTATATCCTGAATATTTCACTTTAGTTTATTAGCTTTTTAAATTATTAATACCAAAATGTCATTAAATATTTACGTGCATACATAGATAATGCCTTCTAAGATGCTCGAATCCCTGCCCCTGTATTATTCTACGCCATCAGAAACATTTATCTCATATATGGGAAACCAAGGGCCAACCATCAAGTACATGACATCAACTTGGAGACCAGAAGTGTTTATGTGCTGCTGAAGACGGGAAAAGGGGAAAAGAGAAGCCTTATTCTCAAGCAGCTTGTCATTGACTTGCAGAGAAAAGATAACACGTGAGGCAAGTGGAGCATATGTGCTTCAAGTATTTCTATGGTTTCTGTCTTAAAATAGATTCCACTTGGCTCCCAGCAAAGGTAGCTTTAGCCCCTTTGGGTAATGTCCATTGCAAACGTGGCTCCCCTGAGGCCCGCTGTGAGAGCTGGAACTAGCAATGCCAGGTGGGGCCTCCTGGAGCCCGGTGTGTGGGGCACACTCTACCTGTAAGTGGGCACCCCAAGGACAATGTGGCCAGAGGAGTCACAGAGGCCACAGAAACAAAGCATGACTCAAGCTGGCAGTGGAAGAAAACACAAAACGGGAAATAGTGGAAAAACAGGAAGGAGGATGCAGGAGCAAGACACGCAGGTGGCCACGAGCATGGGGCGCAGCAGGAGAAATGGCACAAAGCCCAGCGGACAGCCCCGGGCAGAGCAGAACCCAGGTCCCAGATCTGCTGGACACATTCTCTGCACACAACGGGAATCTTTGGTTCTGCCCCCTCCAATCGTCCCTTCAGCCATTTCCCCAGGTAAACTAGTCAGGGCTATTAGAGGAATTCATATGTAACAATATCTTTTTTTTTTTTTTTAGTTTTTAAGTATATTTCTTTTTTATTATTATTATTATTAGTTAAGGTATTACAAATGTGTCCTCATCCCCCCCCATTAACCCCAACCTCCCCCCCCCCCACCCCGCACACTCATGCTCCCATCCCCCTGTTGTCCATGTCCATTGGTTTGGCTTATATACATGTATACAAGTCCTTCGGTTGATCTCTTCCCCTTACCCCCGCCCTCCCCTACTTTCCTTCTGGGGATTGATAGCCTGATTGCTGTTTCTCAGTCTTTGGGTCTGTCCCTTTTCATCAGTCTATGTAACAATATCTTTTTAAAGATTTTTTCCCCTCTCATTATAGAGGCAATCTGTGTTTACTATTTAAAAAATACTTAAAATTCAGAAAAGGAAAAAGAAAAAAAATTAACAACCACCTATATTATAATCCAACCACATTTCCTTCAACATTTATTCAACAATTGCAGTATTAATTAGGATCTACCATGTGCCAGACCAGGTACTTTTCTAGGCTTTCTGGATACATCGGTGAGAAAAATAGACAAAAAAAAAAAAACCAGAGCAGAACTTCGCTGGAGATCCAGACCAGAACTTGGAGAACCTAGCGAGGGAACTTGGCTACAGAATCTGGCTGGAGATCCTAACCAGAACTTCTCTGGAGATCCAGACCAGAACTTGGCTGGAGATCCTGGCTGGAGATCCTGGCTAGGCTGCTGATCAACTGAAGACTGTCTCCGTGTCCTTCCTTCTTCGCCGACGCCGTCCACAACTTTGGGGACCCCTGGACCTGCTGGGGTTGGATCCTGGCATCTGGCGCCCGAACAGGGACCCCTAGGTAAGCCCCACTCTCGGAACGGATAGGACTCCACTGTAGGAAGAGGGTGGATAGTCTTCACCGACTCTGCCCACACCTTTGGGAACCCCTGGAACAGGATTCCCATAGGTAAGCCCCCCCCATTGAGAACCCCCACATTCGGGATGGATAGGACTCCACCAGGGTGCTACAGACCCCCCTATAAAGAATAAGTAGCGGGAGAACCAAGATGGCGGCATAGGTTAACGCCAGAGTTTGCTGCTTTGAACAACTACTTCAAAAGTGAAACCAAAAAACGGAAGGGACATCACCCAGAACCACAGGAACGCTGGCTGAGTGGAAGTCCTACAACTAGGAGGAAAGAGAAACGCATACGGACACTCAGAGGAGGCGCAGTGCTGAAG